GAGTGGGGTCTAGTGGTTGGAGGGGGGGGCTGGGAGCCAGGACTCCTGGGTTCTCTCCCCAGCCCTGGGAGGGGAAGGGGGGCTAGTGGTTAGAGCAGGGGGCTGGGAGCCAGGACTCCTGGGTTCTCTCCCCAGCTCTGGGAGGGGAGTGGGGTCTAGTGGTTAGAGCAGGGGGCTGGGAGCCAGGACTCCTGGGTTCTCTCCCCGGCTCTGGGAGGGGAAGGGGATGCAAGGGGAGTTCTGTCCCCCCCAAACGGGAGCAGTGGAGGCCGTGGGGGGGATCAGGGAGTGTCTCCCGCAGAGACCCCTGGCAGCCTGCCCCTAGCGCTGCAGGCGGGAGGGGGAATCTCCAATGGCTGCCGTACGGGGCACCTGACACACAGCTGCGCCCAGCCCCGGTCACACAGAGTTGTTCCACGACCCCAGCCAGGCAGGAGGAGCCAGGTCGATCATGATTAAACAGAGACGGGTTTATTGAGGGCGATACAGCTGCTCCTACCCCCCCCCCGACCACCCACTGGGGGGGGCACATACCCCACAACACATTGCTGGGGGGGGATCCCCAGGCATCTGCCCCCCCCCCCCGCAGCTCTGGGGATTGATTCTATGTACACTTAAATAACAAGCAAATACGCCCCCCCCCCGAAATTAACTGCGGGGCCTGGAGCCCCCAGCAACAAGAACAGGATAAAATCCCCTCTGCCAGCCCCACCCCCCCAGGCAGGGATCCCCCCCCACAGGGATCCTAGCCCCATTGCTCCCCCCACCCCAGAGACACCAGGGTGCCCTCCCCCGGATTCCCTATGGGGCCCCATCACCCCCCTTGGGGGAGCTAGGACCTTTCCCCATCACCCTTTGAAAAGAGAGGGGGGTGTCATTTCCCCAAGGATGGGGGAGGGAGGTGAGACGCGGGGGGGGAACGACCCCCCCCAATCTGACAAGTGCCCTCTGGTGGTAGCAGTGGGATGCTGCAGCCTCTTGGGTGGCCCCAGGGGCCCTCTGGTGGGGGAAGGCAACACTGCGCCCAGATCTCTATTACCCACCTCCCCCCCCCTGCCCCTGCTGGGGGCTCCCCTCCCCTCCCCTCCCCTCGCTCACACTCACATCCCCCCCCAAACTAGAGAGAAAAAACAATTCCAAACAAATCACTTAAAATATGTCCCCGCCCCCAATTGAAAACCTAAAATCACTCCTAGGCTACCGGGTAAATATGGGGGGGGGTAATCTGGGTACGTGGGGGGCAGGACCGCCCCCCGCCAGTCAGGACGCCCCAAGCAAGGTTCACACACAACAGCAGGTTTGGGGTTAGTCTCTGCAATCTGCTCCCCACCCCTCCCCCCCCCAGCACTAGGAGGTCCCGACCCCGCCAGGCCCCTCGTCTTCACTCTGCCGCAACCGCTTCTTCGCCCGGATCTCGTTCATGGCCTCCTCAATGGAGCGCGTGTCCCGCTTGTTGGCCACGGGAACTGGACGGAAGAGACAAGGGTGAACCCAGGAGTCCGGGCTCCCAGCCCACCCGCTGTCATCCACCAGCCCCCACTCCTCTCCCAGTGCTGGGGAGAGAACCCAGGAGTCCTGGCTCCCAACCCCCCCTGCTCTACCCACCAGCCCCCACTCCCCTCCCAGCGCCGGGGAGAGAACCCAGGAGTCCTGGCTCCCAACCCCCCCTGCTCTACCCACCAGCCCCCACTCCCCTCCCAGCGCCGGGGAGAGAACCCAGGAGTCCTGGC